TAATAGTTAGTCCACCAGTCACCAGTAGTAGTTAGTCCACCAGTCACCACTGAGAGTTAGTCCACCAGTCACCAGTAAGAGTTAGTCCACCAGTCAGCAGTAATAGTTAGTCCACCAGTCACCAGTAAGAGTTAGTCCACCAGTCACCAGTAGTAGTTAGTCCACCAGTCACCACTGAGAGTTAGTCCACCAGTCAGCAGTAATAGTTAGTCCACCAGTCACCAGTAAGAGTTAGTCCACCAGTCACCAGTAAGAGTTAGTCCACCAGTCACCAGTTAGAGTTAGTCCACCAATAATAGTTAGTCCACCAGTAAAAGGTTAGTCCACCAATAAGAGTTAGTCCACCAGTAAGAGTTAATGCAAGGTTTTACTTGACGGGTGAGAACTGAATAGGCTTACGCTTTATTGTGTTAACATTACCTCTGACCCAGTCGAAGATAAAGTTGCTATTCATTGTATTAGGCTCTAATGACATTTTGTGAAGTCGTGTATGGATAACAATGATGTTCACATTTTATGTCTGTGATTTTAACCACAGATTTTCTGACAGACTGCGGCATGGTAACTTTAAATAATCATCGTTTACCTAAGAATAGTACCTATTTACCCAGCATGTGCTTTGTCATCTCCACTCCGTACGGTGATGGGTCATTGTGATACGACTATGAGTAACATGGGTAATATTTCTGCTTCTTCCAGTTTTACTTACCTGGAATAAACGTTTTATAATTTCTGACTTTTATATAATTTCTCACCTAAAGTCTTCTCTGTAGAAAACATATAAATCCGAGATGCACGTTCATTCCAAGTTGGACACTTCAATGCAAAGAAATTCCGTCATGCTTAGTTTTCCCTAAATCACAAAATTCAGCATGAAAGCATTTCAAAATTAGCTATTTTTGAAACATGTTCTTTTTAAAGAATCAAACAATAAAAGTAACCTCAGAGTTACATGTATACATCTAGAGGGAAAAACTTTTCGTTATTAATTCTTTCAACTTTTTGCCCAATTTATCAAATGACCAATAAAATCTGATATGTCCTGTCAATATGCTAGGTATATAACCAATCACATAAATATTTTGGTGTTAGTTTTTGATTATATAGAAAATTTTGATGAATTAAGTCAGAATTAAGGATTCCATGTATGGACATTCACCTCTGTATACCATGATTATCACGGACTCATCCAGATCAATGCATGGTAGAGGGGTCTGCTAAAGTTACATGGGGGTGAAAGGGTTAACTATAAGCAGAGACAAATTGCACCAATCTAAAACGTGAACTGTATTCCAAGTCTATAATATCAATGCCTCTGTGGTTTCAGCTATTTACAGCAACCATGCAAGTGAGACTGTAATGATATAAACATTTATTAAAGAAACATGGAAGTTGAAATTGGAAAAAGAATTCAGCCAGTCTCTGTCATAGAATTCAGCGTTCTGTGGTAACATCATTTATATATGGAGGGTGTTTTTTTGCAGCTGTCCTCTTCATCTTACTTAGTAAGTAGCTATATATGCACCTCACATATACTACATACCTTTCTGTAGGAGCAACTATCAGCTGTCTACAACTAGATCAATACACTAAGGATACTGAAAAAATATGCATTACACTGTTTATACTGTGATAATTGATATTACAGTGTCTACACCTAGACCCATAAACCATATAAATCTACAGCACTTTATCTTATGTCTCAAATAAAAGTGATATAATTTTTGGAGTTCATGATGGAACAGGATAAGCCCATTGTTTTCCGTCCAGTTTCTTATCTTCTGATAAAGGACGTTGAAGTCGGGTATCGCATGTGCTGGGTGTGCAGTATGTAACTGTCGGGTCATACAGCGATAGTCTCACCGACAGCACACAAGGTGTTTGTTTTTTATTGAGATATGTACCCCTTCTTTGATAAGAACTTTAGAAATTCGTAAAAATGAATTGATGGAATATATAGTTTGACGTGAATTCATCATGTAGGTACGGAATGCGAGGAATGTGAGCAAATTTGATCTGTAAATACTGTCGGTGATTATGTGCTCCATACAATTAATAATTGAAAGGTCATTTTTGGCATTGTTTTGGTTTCTGCCCGATGGTGTGGTATTGGAGGGAATAGCACTTTATGTTTATCTCTAATAAAAGCAGAGTTTCAATTTGTAAAATAGTATTCTTCTTACTTGGAGTTTCCTGTTTACTCACTAACACATGTGTACAGTAAAGGGTCGGGACTATCTATTGTAAGGTGGACAGTCATGGTGACCAAATCACATATCAGCACACGCTGTGCTTTAAAAATGAATGCTGTTGTTACTGAATGAGTGTCTGTTTACGTAAGATTTAGTTCCCATTAAAAGGCATCAACATTGTTAGCTTCAATTGTGTAACTAAAGCCACTAAATCAATTGAGATTGGAACAATATCTGCATATTTATTTCTGAAGTCACAAAGTGTATTTATATTATACATTCCTCATTATCCTCATTGTCATCTAGGACATCATACCTCAGTTTGGAACCATCTAAACAGAGCATGTAGGTTGTATACCCTATATATGAGGTTTGTGTGGCATATTGTGTAGTACTTTAAAAAATGCAAGCTTCCCAAGTTCTTATAGCCAAATTTTCAATGCATTACTTAACAGACATTTTAAGAAATAATGACTTATTTATAACACAAGACCTTGCCCTCCAACAGTAGACAAATTCTCATATCTCCATACAAAGCACACTATTTTGATTTTTTTCCCCTTTTTATCATGTTTCTTTCAACTATTGGTCAAACAGAAATACTAACACTGGCAACTGCAGTTTCAAATTGTAAGAATAAAGCAAAGTGCTAAACAGTTATTTGGTATCTTGGCATGAAGGTACCTTTGATTCCCTTTGATGAATAGTTTCTAAATCAAATCACAATGTACTAAGCATGTCTAGTATCGATGCTTTGGACCTGTAGATTCTCACGCCAATAGAAATGTAGAGATCACCTAATCATAATATGACACAGATGATTTTATACCAGAGAGAGGCTCCATGAAGAATCGTGCTAGTGCATGTTGTTTTAGTACTGTTGAAATAAACTTGTTTACACTGATATTAAACTGTGATGTATTTAATGTTTTGTTTATGATGAAAATATTTTTAAGAAATTTTGTTTCTGTTTTTGTATCATGAGAAATTAATACCAGTTATTCAATTTTAAGCTCACCTGGTCCAAAGAACCAGTGAACTTACGCTGTGGCACAGGTTCAATTTTAAGCTCACCTGGTCCAAAGAACCAGTGAACTTACGCTGTGGCACAGGCTCCTTCGTCCATCTTTCAACTTGTCTTTTAAAACTACTAGTCCTGAACAGCTCAGTGGATTTTGACTAAATTTGGCCTGTAGCATACGTTGACAATGACAATGGGGCACAATATGGGAAATTGGGGAAATTTTTTACAATCCTTCTCCTGTACCATTACAGGGATTTTAACCAAATTTTGTTTAGCGTGTCCTTGGGCAAGGGGGACTCAAATTTATAACAAAAAAGAGACTGTGGCCCCACTGGTGGCAGAGGGACTGGGCCAAATAGGGGGAAAATTGTAATAAATGTTTAAAATCCTTCTTCTCTAGTATGATTTGAAGGATTTAAACCAAATTTTGTGTAGATCATCTTTGGGCAAAGGGGAATCAGTTTTCTGTAAACAGAGGGTCAACTCTCTTTTGGGCAGAGGGCCTTATAGGGAAAATTGATGAAACACTTTAAAATATTTTTCCACCAGTTGATACGAGGGATTTTGACCAAATTTGTGTTGAGCATCCTAGGGCAAAGCATCTTCGATCCGCCATGGGTTACGCTCACTTTCGCTCTCGGTCCTCCTGGAATATGTCATTGCAAAATCAGGAAAAATAACTTGCTAGGCCTATACCTTTCCTTTGAAGATTACAGAGGAGCGATGTCTGACTTCAAAGCCAGTGAATTTTACTTTTACATGACCGACTAATTCTTTTGATGTTCATCAGAGGATCAAACTAGTCTCCTTGTCTCATCCACAAGGTGGTGAACACAGAGCCTTCGATTTTGCTATGAAATGTTCCAGGGGTGCAGAGAGTGAAAGTGAGCGTAACCCCTGGATATCGAGGATGAGGACAAAAGGGACTCAATTTTGTATAAAGGGTAATGTGGCCTCCTTGGGGGCAGAGAGGTGGGGCTCAATAGGGGAAATTAAGGTAAATCTTTGAAATCCACTCTTCTTCATTGAGGCAGTAATAAGGGAAGGGTATTGCTTTGAAACAGAGCCAATATTTTAAAATAGTTGCAATAATTATATATTTAATAAAAATACTTCCCATTGGTGTTTTATTATCCAGGTGAGAGATACAGGCCCTCTGGGCCTTTTGTTCATTATATTCCTATTAAACGCTTGATTGCAAACTATTTGATGAAAATAAGAATCAATGTACATCCAGGTTGTAATGCATGAATCACAGTAGCCTAGCTTTAAGATAGGATGCTACCTTGTATTCGTACATGTAAAACATTTATGTAGCAATATTTAGACAAAAAGAATGTTTTTCATTTATGTCGTTCTTAATATTGAAATGTATGTTACTTGTCAAGTGTGACCAGGTTTGGGGAATGGTTGCACCCTTATATACGTACACAATAGTGGCATTATCAATTTTAGGTTACAGATTGCACTTAAAGGCTGACATCACATCTTCAGAGCTGTTAAATATCTTTTTAAAAAAGTGATGCACACTTTTCAAATGATTATTGTATACTGAAGAAGAGTATTGTATATGAATGATGTGTGATGTTATATGCTTATTGCCAGACGGCTAGTTTGGTGATTGAGGTGACAAACAAGTGTTTGAGCATGATATAGTAAGATACACTTAAGTTACCCAGCATGGACACAGTGGGTGGCATACTTGAGCATGATAAAGTAAGATAAACTAAGTTACCCAGCATGGACACAGTGGGTGGCATGTTTGAGCATGATATAGTAAGATACACTTAAGTTACCCAGCATGGACACAGTGGGTGGCATGTTTGAGCATGATATAGTAAGATACACTTAAGTTACCCAGCATGGACACAGTGGGTGGCAT